AACCTACTAGCACTAAGTTGCTAACTGGTTAGCAAGATGCTTCCGACAAACCGGCCTCAACCAAACATGTTTGTGAACCTTCTGCCACAACAATCCCGCCCCCTTGATAAACGACCAATCATATTCACTTTATTCACTCATGTAAAGTTGTGCACCACTCGGGAGAATTTGGAAATGCAAAGTTTGGAACCGCTGCTTCCCTGCAACTTTAAATGAATGCTCTACCTCACTGGAGGAGCTATTTTTAGAGTAAAGGCTGCCTCTCTGTGTGACCGTTCATCCCTTTAAATTGGTACCAGGGAGCACCAGGTTGCCTTTCGTGCTCACTCTGCTGCACTGTGGTGCATCTGCATTCACACAGGGATCGTCCTCTCCTGCTAACCTCACTGCAGCTTCTCTAAACAGCTGGTAGTTACGTGTCGTGCTTCAGGGCTTGTAACTTCCTCTATTCAGACTTCCCCAGCAGGCCTGCTCTGGAGTTCACAATCCATTTATGGTCCCAAATATGTGTCTCTGTTATCAGATAAGTCTGAGTCTTTACCCTGGAGAGGATTAACTGCCAACATATAAATAATATCACCTATAGATTTTAGCAGATTTATTCAGAGCACGTGAACTTTGCCTTTTGTCACTTTATAACCATAAACTGCAAGGTTTTTTTTTAATTCATTGGGATTTTATTTCATTGAAAAACACAGCCCATAACTTTGGATTGGTAGGATTTACAGAAAATATTTTACAAATAATCTAAATCTAAAGAATTCAACAGATTTTTATTAGGGCTGCAGTTGTCGATTTTTTTAGTGATTGATCATTGTATGAATTATATTTTTAAAAAATCTGAAACGAGTTACATTAAAGGTGCCGTAGGAGATAGATTTGTTCATGTGTCAGGGTACGCGCACAGGAGGAAGGACATGCAGACGACCATGATTGACATGTCAGTAACCAATCGTGTACAACGGACTGTCTTTTGTGATTGGTTGAGGTTATTCATTGATGTCTCACTGTAGCGGGGACCATTTATTTTAGTTTCACTTCCAGACCTTCTATTTCACTGCTTGCTAAGCGGCTGTGGGGAGATCTTTCCTTTTCAGAAACCCAGATCTGGTCACCCTAGATATGCTAGCAATGCTAACAACAGCTTAGCAACAAATTAATACTTCCACTTTGCGATTGTGATGGCCTTACGGTCGGAACGCCCGTGGTTCTGGCTCATTTTCAATAGAGAAACTTCCTGCTTTGTAATTCTTGTAGAAGTAAACCCAACTGAAGAATAAACAGCATACTGGTGTCTTCCATCTACCTCCATTCATGTTCTTGGGTCATGAACCATTGGGCTGGTCTGTATGTCAAAAGTACAGGCCAGAACCAAATAAGGCAATGTCCCCGAGTTTACATCAATTCGGTCCTTCATTTGGATTCTCCAGTTTTATGGTGGAAGTTTAGGATTGTAAGATTTGCAGAGCAAGAAAGTGTCGATGGGGTTTCAACTTTTCTGTACGTCCGTTTCACCCACTGAACTATCGTTATTCATCTATGACAACGTAAACTCGGTTTTGCATTCTATGACCCCTTTAAAGGAAGGAGCGTTGAACCCTAAATAGGTTCATGGAAAAAGTTGAAATCCTCCACAGGAAGTGGTGTTTCTTGCTTCTGTCATGTATACATATAAAAATGATGTCATTATGATTTCTTCTAAGGCATGTACTTCCTGTTTCTCATATCTGAGTTGATCTGATTGAGTCATGAAACGGCACCTACGCGGGTTCAAATGTGCTGTTTGAAAGAAAGCGGTCCAGATTGGTTTTCCTGTTGTGGAAATAAAGCAGGCAGTTTTTAGTGATGTCTCTGTCTGACGGACGGCCCCCGCAGATAGACACTGAGTAGGGAACAGGAAGTAAAACAGGAAGACCAGACTCGGCGACCCTAAAAGAGATTTTCACAGCCTGTGATTGGTAGTGATGAAGACATATCGTCCATACGCCATACCTCTGGTTTTAGTCCATTTTAACAGTCGGTGATATGATCTGTGGTTTCATAAGCAGTGCCGACCCCAGACAGACCATTATGCACCGCAAAAACCCAGGCGCAGTTGTTCTTTGACCGTTTTAAAACAAAAGTCTCTGAGCTCACTTTTCTGCATGATACTGAAAGTGAGAAGGTTGTGGAAGAGGATCTAGTTATTGCAGACTGAAGGGACTGAAGGGCTGTTGCAGAAATAGCACCTCCTGTTGCGCGGCAGTCACTTCCTCTTTGCAGAGTTCCTGATGGAGCCTCAGCACTGGCTGTAGATTCTGCCCCTCGGCCAAAACAAGGGATGTTATACGGGAGGTTCTCAGGGAGCCGAGGCTTCTCGCTGAGAAGAAAAGGTTGCCCGGAGGTAGGCTCTGAGAATGCTCCGGTTTTCCAGTCACATTGCAGTAAAAGTTTAGTGGCTGCTGTCAGAAGATCATGTTTAAAGAGTTCAGTTCTGGGCTGCTGTCTTATTTCCAGTGAAGTCAGAGTTGGTTAGACTTTATTAAACTAGAATGTCTCTTTGTTTTTATCTGAGTTTTAGACGTCACAAGCTATTTTGTCTCCTGTGGAGGTTTCTTACAGCTAGAAAATGGCTCACATTCATTTTTTTATTCCATTGTTTTCCTCCTCTTGTAAGATTCGTTTTTTAGAGGATTTTTTCTTTTTAGATTAAATGTATCTAAAAGTGGTTTGGATTTTCTCTCCCTTTTCTTGCCTTTAAATTTTGTTGAAATCTTTCGGTTCTGATCAGACGGTTGTTGCTGCAGGAAGTGAAAATGAATGCAGTGTGTTGAAATGGCTCCGTGAGCCTTCTGGCATCTTAAAACCGGGCAAAATGAGCCCAACTATGTCAGAGCTTTGTGGTCCTCACAAACCAAGAGGCCTGGGGCTGGCCCATTAAAACAAGCTGGAAAACTCCATTTTCCCATTTCCTCTGGGTTTGGGTGGAGGCTCTCTGATGCAAATCCAAGAGAATGAAAGCTTTGTTCTTGTCTGCATCACTTCATGGGATTCTGATTCACTTAAGAGTATGTGTGTGAATGATGACCAACTGCTGGGGATGAGCTTGTCCATCAATGCAGAAAGAGGAGCCTGTTGTGGAAAGGTCAGAGATGTGGGTCCCAGTCTGGGTGTCTACATAGCAACTACAGCTGTGTGTCATCTTGCTCCGTAACCAAGAGCATTTATTCAGGTTGAACATTTTTCCCATTTTGTTATTTAAAACACAAAATAATAACATGGAAAATTACACAATAACATTTATTATTATCTATTAAGTCAGATAGAAAACTGAAAAACAACCACAAGGGAAGTCTTATTTAAATTTTAAATAATTCTGGCTTAAACATGTA